TTTTTTTTTTTTTTTTTTTTTTTTTTTTTTTTTTTTTTTTTTTTTTTTTTTTTTGACAAATTGTATATTTTGTAGGCATAAAAAATCAAACCAATGGCTTGAGAACAAATTTTGATAAATAAAATATCAATATTTGAGAATCAAAACGAAGAGCGCGAGAAGTAGAGTGATCCCATGGCAGCAGCTAATGTGGGCTATTCTGGGTGAATCCGAGGAAGTTCTGGGCGGTCTTGCAAGTCGACGCCTTTTCGAAGTATCGATCATAATCGCAAATCGGCAGCCATCCCGGGTGTTGCCCTGATTAGGCGGAGAGGGATCGACGGTGGTAACCGTTGCTAGGTTCGAAAATTTGCATGCGGAAGAACTCTGGTTCATTGTTTGAAAATAGGCATTGAATGCATATGAAACGTTGCTTTTCGCATCAAGTTGGCTGCAGGAGGAGCCGTAGGTAAGGCTTGTGCAATCAGCATGGTCGCACGCATATGCAACGCTATTCGGAAGATTGGGATCCGACAGACTAGCTTGCGGTGACATCACGCACCACTGCTTTGGCAAGTATCGAACTCCTTTGGCTGGAACCAAGGACCTCCCCTTCCCCATGTTCAAAGAGTACTTGATTGTTCCATCGTTATTGAAAACTCCCCAATGTCGCTCGAAACTCCCCGGTTGAATGCTCTTTGCGTCCTCGTCGATGATCGCAAAGATGTAGGTGTCAACGGGCACGGGCCTCTTTGGTGTGCCTTGCCGACGATTGATGCGTTCGACTAGGCCTACAAGCATTTTAGTTGTTATATCAACCTTTCGTCTAATATTCTAAAGAATTTATACTCGGAACTAGTAATTTAATCTACCTTGATTGAATCTTTGAGCATTAGCTTTATTGGCACTGGGATCTCCATCAGTTGGCCACCCGACCTCTCCAATAATGATAGGCATGTTGGAAAAGCCATTCTTCTCGAGAGCGGAGACGAGAGTGTCAAAATTTGCATCGAGAACGTTGGTGTAAGAGATGGAGCCATCGATAACGGGCGCGGCATTGCCGTTGAAGAAGGCGTACTCCTTGGGGAAATGTGGATCAGCGTTGAGGCTAAGGAAGGGGTAGATGTTGATGGTGAGAGGAGCGGCGTTGTTGCTGAGGAACTTGATGATATTAACCATAAGATCACGGATGTCCGGCCGGAAGTTGCCGCCGGAAGGGAGCCCATTCTCGGTCTCATAAACGTCGGCGTTTAATGGGACTGTGACTTTCACTTGTCGACCCAAACCGGCTTTTATTAGGGCGGCTTGTACGTTTTGCATAGCTGGGAAGGTGGTTTGAAGAAATGAACCGTTGTAGGCGTTTAGGAAAGGTTCATTACCCACAGCCACATACCTACGCAATCGAACCCAAATCCAAATGTAATTCGTAACACCCTAATATTTGTTGGATGAAAGTCTCACATCGTCTAATTTAAGAAATGATCATGCGTTTATAATCAAAGAATACTATTTTCATTGGCGGCACGAGGCCTTTTGAGGAAGCCAACTCAAAGCCATGATGCTCAAAGTGGACAATATGATACAATTATAGAGATCCGTGATTCCTAACATGGTATCATAGTCATACCCTAAAATTTAGCCATGAGGCATTTTGAGGAAACCGCCATGAGAGCTCATACTCAAAATGGACAATATGATATGATACCATTGTAGAGATCTGTAATTTCTAACATGGTATCAGAGTTATTATATAGAATACTATCTCCATGTCGAGGAAGCCCAGCTCAAAGCCATGAGAGCTTATGCTCAAAGTAGACAATATGATACCATTGTGGAGATCCGTGATTCCTAACATGATAACAGAGAATGCCCTAAAATTTAGCCATGACATTAGAATCCTCAAATGTCGAACAAAGTGTTATGAGCCTCGATGACATAGTCAAAAAGTGACTGAAGTATTGAACAAAGAGTACACTTTGTTCGAAGACTCCAAAAGAAAAAAAAGAGTCGAGCCTCGATTAAGAGGAGATATACTTTGTTCGAAGAGAGGTGTTGGATGAAAGTTCCACGTCGGCTAATTTAGAGAATGATCATGAGTTTATATTCAAGAAATACTATCTCCATTGTTATGAGACATTCTAACAATATCAACATTAATCGAAATATCACAAGGTGCTAATTAAAGCCATTACCTGATATCTGTACCAAAATTTGAAACGAAGTAAGACACGTTTTTGGCGACCCATTCCTCGGCAACTCGGACAGTACTTGAAAGCGGTGCCAAAAATTCATTAGGGATTCCAAGCATAACTTGAAGACCAGAATTTCCCAAAGCCTGAAGAGCTCCAGGATCAGCTTCAAATAGCTTCACTTTATTGAACCCATTATCCTTAATCAACTTAACAACAATATCTGGTGGGAGTGGATGGCTGGAGCGGGTTCCCCAATTACACGCAAACCCTAAAGCACCCTTTACAAGACCTTCATGGCCCAAACAAGAAACAATTAGCAAAAACAATAGGCATGGGTGTCCCATTTTGTGTGTTGAGTTTGCATCTTTGGAGATGGCATTTTAAATGTAATGGCCAAAATGCTAAAAGTTAAGAGAAGACGAGGCCTTTTGGGCAAGGAAAGGCAAGGAATTGCATGGAGATTCGAAAAGGAATTGGGTTCCTTGAAAACATTTACACGTATTGCCAAGCCATGATTCTTCTTCCAATAAATGTTTGTTTTTACTGAATGTTTGGAGGCATTTTATACGACGGGAGACAGGAAATAATAATGGTTGTCAAGAAAGGAATCTCCTCTCTAAGCTCGTATATATTTGCCTCCTCCATCCAACAATCTCTATGTTCTTGGGTTCTACTTTAAATGTTATTAAACTTGTATTTTATCTAATAATTATATAACTTTTCGAGGGTGGAACGATGAATCCAAATTAGAATAGAATTGGAGTTGGTTGGATGAACACGACTCTCCACAATAGTATGATATTATCCACTTTATACGACTCTCGTAGCTTTACTCTGAGGTTCCCCAAAAGGCCTCCCAATGGAGATAGTATTCCTAGAAACCCATGAGCATTACAAATTATGAGATTTTCATCTAACACCTCACCTCGAACAAAGTATGTCTCCCCTTAATCGAAGCTGACTCTTTTTTCTTTCTTTTAGAGTTTTCGAGTCTTTGAACAAAGTACACCATTTGTTTGATACTTTAGTCACTTCTGATTGTGCCTTCCGAATTTGCTTTGGGCTCCCCCAAAAGGTTTTGTACCAATGAAAATAATATTCCTGGGTTATAAACAGATGATCATTCCTAAATTAATAAATGTTGGACTTTCATCCAGCAGAGTTGATTGTGAATCTCCGTTAGCCCTACCCCTATTATTATTTTTAATGATTTTAAAATTAATGAATCTACTGGACATAAAATTAATTTTGTTTTGTGTTTGATTTTACTATATAATTTATTAAAAGGAATTTAATTAACTACTATTAAAAATTTAACTAAATAAATTTTAAGGTGTATTATTTCTATGTAGGTAACCTAGATATGACCATCTATAAACAAAATTTCTTTATGTATAGTTAGTTTTTATTTTAAACTCATCAAATATTTGATGAATCTATGTGAATATTAGTTTTATTTAAAGTTTATTAAGATCTTAAGCATATCAACCTAAACCTAAGAATTATATTCAAAATAATTAAGATGATGAAATTTTAATCAAATAACATAATTTATAAAATAATCAAATAATTTAAAATATATATTATATGTATAATTAAATTAAGCATCAAAACTAGATCACCAAAAATAATTAAAATTTGAACTCTACACCCTCATAAAAGTTAAAATTTACCAAATAATTAATAAGAATTAGAAAAAGGAATAAGAGCCTTTGAAGTCTATGAACTGAATCAACATTGTTAAATGAGATGATGAATCATAAATAATTAAAATGAGTTCAAGCATAAAAATAAAATAATAATTCATGTAAAATTTAAAACAACATATCAATATGCACAAAAGAGTTAACATATTAGAGATATTGGATTAAATTAAAAGACGTGATGATCTTAAAAATAATAATAATAATAATTAATCCAACTAATTAATCCGACATAATTGGTGTGATTTGAATTTGGATTAAGTTACAAATTGGTTTGAATTCAAATAAATAAAAAATTTAGGCCGGACTATGTGATGTTAGTATTAATAGTAGTAATGCATCGGTCTCATAAACATTTGAGATTTCAAGTTACATCTTATGAAAATTGCATCAGATGACTATTGGTGTGACATGGTTTGAAACTTTATATTGAAAAAAATAAAAGTTCAAGACGAGGTAGGCAAAGGCAAACTTGAATTGTTAGGACTAGAGTTAGTCAAAGCCACCAATTAAGCCAGGTAAAAAAAAATCAAAACAAGATGCGTACAACTTATAGTAGATACAAGATTTACGTCGACATGAGGCGTAAAAATTTGGAGTTTGAGATAGGCAACAAGGTATTCTTCAAGGTGTCCCCAATAAAAAGTGTCCTCATGTTGGGACGAAAAGGCAAGCTAATCCCACACTTTGTCAGACCCTTTGACATTTTGAAGCAGCACATAGATTAACCTTGTCATATCGTCCCTTTTTATTGTGCATATACCCACATATCCATGCTTCATAGTACTTGATAGTCTCAATGCACGTTATAGATTACCCACATCTTCAGATAGACGAGGACCTGAGTTATTCCAAGCTTAAGGTACTTTCGAGGATGAAAGTTTCTTTTAGATGTGTATGATATAACAATCAAAAATTGAAAAAATAAAAAAAAAAATTTCCCAATTAGGTTGATAAAGTTAGAAGCTGGACTCCAAAAGGAGTATCCCTTGGTTTACCGAATCACAACAATTGCACTGTTTGGTTGTTCGAAGTCAGTCGAAAAATACATTTTCTAATGGCTCCAACTCGACTTCTCGGCTGATTCGGCTTTGGTTTGATATGCTCGGACTTTTTACTACCATTTTCAACTCTTTGAAAGCCGTTTTTGACACTTTTAGAATCATTTTAAGATTAGTATGACTAATGTTTAGCCAATTTAAATTATTTAAAGCTAAGTTTAAATTATTTTATGCAAATTATGTGAGCCAACTTCTAGAGTGGAATTCGACTCTAAGTTATGATTTTAGGACTCATTAGGTAGATTTAGATGTTAAGGAAGCTTAGTGACTTTAACTTAGACCAAAAGTAAGTGTCTTTACTTTTAGTTTGGTTGAATTACTTGTTTGTTCTATGAAAGACACGTCCCTGTAGTCCTTGCATGTGTCGTATTTTATAATTTTTTGACATGAGCTATGTTACATTTATGCTATGATATATGTTAGGTCGTGATACAAGTTATGTTTCATTGTAAGTTATACTATCATATGGTTATGCTATGTCATGAAGCTATGTTGTATTAGCGACGATGTATGCTATGAGTTGTATTATGCTATGGTTCAAAGCGATATTGTGATGTGAATACCATGTGATTTATGAACCTCCATATATTATGCCACGTGTCTTGGTCGTACTTTTTCAACCGTGCGACTTCATGATCTTGAAGAGCTAACGACTAGCCCTGAGAGGCACCCAAACCCTATATTAATTTTTCGCCCAACTTTGTGCTTCGTCAGACCTTAAACGAGGTTTTTCAACCTATTTCTTCACTCACGTTAAAATTATTTTCAACTATAGAAGTTTTTGTAGCTTAAAATGAACGTCAAATCTTAGTTTAGGGGCTGATTAATATTTTAACAACATAATTTGAAACTTTTAAAAGCAAATGAAGCATAATTTTTAGGCTCCAAAACAAGTGGTTAAATTGAAAAATTTTGTTCTCTTACAATTTAGTCAAAATTTTGTCGTTAATAAATCCTCATAAATAGGTTAGATTCTAACTTTCTGGAAATATTACTAAATGGTACGATTTAACTTAGAACAATCTATTCAAAATAAGCAAAAGTCTTTGTTTTCTGCGACCGGTATTGCTGTTTACTCTCTATTTCTCGGTCTGCTTTCTTCCATTTTCCACCCTCTCTGATTTGATCTTCCCACCTAAACGCCGCTGATCCAAGCATTCTTCGATCTCAGATCCCAATCGGCCGTCCTCCGACGAAACCCCACATTGCATTCTTATTCTCCCTCAGAAGGATCTTAGATCTTCGCCGCATTTCCATCTTCCATGGCTACGATGGAGAGCTTGATCGGTTTAGTCAACCGAATCCAGCGAGCCTGCACTGTCTTGGGAGATCATGGCGGCGAGGGAATGTCCCTCTGGGAAGCTCTTCCATCTGTCGCCGTCGTTGGAGGACAGGTTTGGAATCTCCTAACTTATTTTCTTTTCGATGTGCAATATAGGCTTTGCGTTCGTAGCCATTTTCTGTATCTGATCGGTTTCTGTTCCTGTGGAGATTAGAGTTCCGGTAAATCTTCAGTGCTCGAAAGCGTCGTCGGTAGGGACTTTCTTCCTCGTGGATCCGGTAAATCTCGTACATCTGTTCTCTTTATTTTGTTTGTGTATAAATGATTTGCAATACCTGTTTCGTCTTCTCTCCCTTTTGAGAATCTGCGTGACTTGAGAGGGATGGATAGATGTGTGATGATGTTGGACTTCATTTTACTCATGGTGTACTCTGTAGTCGAGGATCTTCAGTTTAGCTCAGATACGAGGAAGTTAATTTTATTTTCTTGTATTTCATAATTTATTGAGTTGAACTTGTAGGCTCCAGTCATTAAAGTAATTTAGCGATAATTTCTCAGTGAATAATCAAAAGTATGTTGGGGTTCTTTTCAGTCTATCGCTTTAAAACTGAAAATTGTATTGTATCCGTGTCAGTTCCAGAATTGTGCTTGGTTACTGGTAACTGACGAAGAATTGTTCTATTCACCTCTAGTTTATCTTCCATGTTGATAGGCATCGTAACACGAAGACCATTAGTGTTGCAACTTCATAAGACAGAAGAAGGACGATCTGAATATGCAGAGTTTCTACATGCCCCAAAGAAGAAGTTTGCTGATTTTGGTACATTGTGTTTCATTTTCTTCTTCTGACAAGTATTTTCTTTATACATTGATTAATGTACTTATGAAGGCTTTAACTTTTAATGTTTTTCATTCACCAACCCCTTTCTTCAAATATTCCAGCATTCCATTCTGGAGATAAGGTTTGGTATTGTTGCGTATTTTGTGATTTGATTCACGTCCATTATGGAACTAAATTTCCGTTTGATGTTGTAAAAGATTATCGTGGAAGTAAGATCTATGTTTTATGGGCATCTTTATGATTAAATATCAAAATCTTCGTCTAAATTGGATCCACTTGTTCTTATATCAAAAACTTTGAATTCTCTTGCTCACTACTAGTTTGGAAAATTTAATCATGGAGTACATTTTGCACAAGCTAATTGCATAACCATAGAAGAACGAGAAATCTGGCTAAAAGAAGATCCAGTATTACAATTCTTCAGTCTTAAGTGTTTGTAAAATAAATTTTGTAGCTTGCTTCCGTCTAGGATGATAAAGTATTGTCATATGATTGTGGTTATTCTTTAACACATTTTCTTTCTAATTAGTACCATATGACATTCTTTTCCTTCTTCCATAATATTTGAATATGCAGTCAGTTTTACCAATTAAACGTGTCCATTTTTCTCATGTGCAGCTTCCGTGCGTAAAGAAATATCAGATGAGACTGATCGGATAACTGGGAAGTCTAAGCAAATCTCAAACGTTCCAATTCATTTGAGCATATACTCTCCAAATGGTAAAAAAGATGAAATATAATTCTTAAACTATTGAATCAGCAGGTTGAATTATATTGTTCACCAGTGTTTTGTGCTTTAAGTAGATCCTAATACTTTGAAAGCATTTAGAAAATGTTTTACAGTTCAGGGGAAGAAATATTTTTTGTTCTTTAAAGAAGTGTTTCAGCCTCAAACGCACGTAGTAAAATTGAAGCATAAGTTTCTAGTGGTACAAACTGAAATCTGAGATTTGTCATATATACTCTAAGCTTTTGACAAATTCGAATGTTGACACCTAGCTATCTAAATTAACACATAACAGATGATCAATAACTTTGTAAACACCAAGGGTTGGTTGTATCTGTATGTGATTGGCTCTGTTCAACTGTGCCATTAAGCAATGACTCGTTCATATTAAGTTCTTCAATTGCCTCCAATCATTTGGCGTTAAAAATTAATAGGAATATGTGCTGAAATTTGGAATTAAATCAATAGAACATTAAGTTTAGTAACTTCAGATATTTCGAAGACTGTTCTGCTAGAATTGATTTTGTTACTTTGAATTGGTGACTCCTAAAGACTTCTGTAATTACCCTCCCCTTTTTATTGGTCCAAATACTTACAAGTTTCTTCAATTTCTATCCTTTGAATTGGAGGAATTCAGACCTGAAGGCCTTCTATTACCATTTTTTTCGTACTTGGAAAAATTCATGCGAAGCATCTGTAAATAATAAAAAACCTTTTCTTCTCATTTCTACACTCTAACTGGGGTTTAAGTTTTGGGTTTGAGGTCATGGCCGTTTGAGGCTCGAAATGATAGATTATGAGAAGATTCTATATTTGGCACTCAACCCTACATACCCTTGTATTACCTTTGTGTATCTTCATGGCATCTTGTTCTTTTTTGTATTTTCTAAAAGGAAATAATGATTTCAACTTTATCATATTATTATCAAACATCTATTAACCTCTTGTTTCATAAGAATTGTGGGTTCCTGTTTGTAGTCTTCTTTTAATTATTGGCGATGAGTTTCTCCTTATGTGATTATAAAGTGGCATGTCTTTCTTGCAGTTGTAAACTTAACCCTCATAGATCTTCCTGGGTTGACAAAGGTTGCTGTAGGTAATTGTTTGAAATTATCATTATGGATTTTATTTTTCAAAAAGAAAAGATTTTGGTTTACTGTTGGACATTTATTAACTGATATGTTTTGGTTTCCTGCCTTTTACAGAAGGACAACCCGAGTCTATTGTCGAAGATATTGAAAACATGGTTCGCTCTTATGTTGAGAAAGTAAGGACCCTCCAGATCAAGAGGAAAACATTAAATGCATTTCTCTAATGATGTATCATTTTTCTTTTGGCCTTGGAATTAGAAAATGTTTACATTGATGCTATTGACAAATTTTTGGTTTCCGAAAGTTGGGATTTTTTTTTGTAAATGCCTCAAGTGATGATTCCCTCTTTTGGCCATATGCTTCTTTTTGTGGGTTTTTCCTTCCACGTAGTTCTTTCATATTCTAAATAAAAACTGGTTTTCTGTACATATATAGTATCCAAAATTCTGCTAGACGCTTATACTTGCAATTATCTCCTCTGGCTATCCTTGATTGTCTTCTAACTTCTCTTGTAGTTAAAATTATTTCTGCATTTATATTATTCTGTAGAATTTTAAAGATAAAGGAAATCATGGCTTTCGTTATTGTTATAAGCCAAATGGAGGCATTATCTTGGAAAGTTTTTTCATTCTTTTATTAATGCTGTTTTGGTGATTACTATTGGTTCGATGGCGTGCATTTTTCATAGATCGTAAAGAATATTTTTATCTGCTCACGTTAAGAATCTTCGATGAAGCAGTATGCTTGCATTCTTCTGTCTTCTTCTAGCAGTTGTAATTATTATTTTCTTGATTTTTGTAGCCGAACTGCATCATACTAGCGATTTCTCCTGCTAATCAAGATATTGCAACTTCAGATGCTATAAAGCTTGCAAGGGAAGTTGATCCCTCAGGTAGTAATGTTAATTGGGTGCAGTGTTATAGGTTATACGTAGAACTTTGATAAATTGGCTAAGATATCTACTTCTTGTCTCATTTCTTCTTTTAGGTGAAAGAACATTTGGAGTGCTTACAAAACTTGACCTGATGGACAGGGGAACAAATGCTCTGGATGTATGATTCTATTACCTGATATTGTGTATAAATCAACCGTGTAAATCAAATTTTATTAATAACGATATAACAAGAGTAACCATCTTCAGATAATTTGTGAAACTCAAATCTACTTTTGACATTACATATGACGACAGTGATTCAAATTGCAGTAAGATAACAGCATTGATTATTTGTTGATTTTTCTTTCCAATGTATGATTGTTCTAAATTTTTGTCCTACTAATGACTTGTGGATTTGTTACCATGCTTTACCAGGCAGTAAAAAAGTGTTAAAACCTAAAAGTTTTTCTTATGAATGTTGAAGGTTCTTGAAGGAAGAGCATATAGGTTGCAGCATCCATGGGTTGGGATTGTTAATCGTTCACAAGCTGATATCAATAAGAATGTGGACATGATTATTGCTCGTAAAAAGGAGCGTGAATATTTTGAAACGAGCCCCGAGTATGGACATCTAGCCCATAAGATGGGCTCAGAATATCTTGCCAAACTTTTGTCTCAGGTCTTTGTTCCCATTTTTATTTCCATCTTGTTATTTTAACCCTACTTATATTTTAGTTTTCACAATTAGGAATGTCCTTGCAGTTTGGTGCAGCTTCTTGTGTTTTCATATGTTATGTTCTTCTTTTCAGCACTTGGAGAGGGTTATCAGGCAGCGGATACCAAGCATCATTGCCTTGATAAATAAGACGATTGACGAACTAAATGCTGAGTTGGACCGGATTGGTAGACCTATAGCAGTAGACTCAGGGGTAATGCACTAGCCACTGTGAATACCGTATTCCAAATTACCAATAAAATTATCACTACCCTGCATTCATTTTCTCTTATGCAGGCACAACTGTACACTATTTTAGAAATGTGTCGAGCATTTGACCGTGTATTCAAGGAACATCTGGATGGAGGGTAATGTTGTGAATTGTTTTTAGCATTTCCAAACTGTAGTGGAGCATCTTATGTCAAAGAAACTCCTTAATACTATAATGTTATGCAGATAAGTAGCTTTCTTTTTAGTCTGAACCAAAGTCGCAATACAGTGAATATTTCTTGAGGATAATAAAGAACTATGCTGGTGAAGTTCCATCCCCAGCATAAATTTATGCTAGAGAAAGTATCAATTTGTGAAGTTCCTCTTCAGGAATATTCCCTCTTGGTTTCCTAACATTTTCATCACATTGGAGGCTTCAATATTTGGTTTCCTGAAATTTTCACCATAATAGGGGCATAGTTCAATGAAAAGTTTCGTTCTTGTTCAAAAAATGCACATTTGTTTTGTTCTCTTGGACGCATTATTTAAAGGACCATAATTCTACTGTTTATGAGTTTGAAAAATACCTTCCTTTCATACACACCTACAGATGCTATTTTATAACTTCATTTTGAGAAAAATACTTTTTTAGTCCCTAAGTTTTGAGTATAGTTTCCATTTGGTCCTTAAGTTTCAAAATGTTACATTATTGCACATGACTTTTGAGTTTAGTTTCAGTTTGGTCTCTTGATTTCAAATGGTTACATTTTTACTCTTGAGTTAGGTTTTTTATCTGCTCTCTTTGTCGGCTTTTGAGCTGACAATGAGAAATCATGTTTGTCGTGGGAAATAAAAAGGAAAAATGAAAAGACTACTTTGTGACCAACACGAGAAAGCTTTGAAGTTATTAAAATATAATCCATGCTGGATCGACAGTGACTTCTTTCTCCAATAGGCAGCTTAACTTCTTTTTTCCAATTGCTAATGATATTTACATGGTTTATCATGAATGTATGCTGCAGGCGGCCTGGTGGAGATAGAATATATGGAGTCTTCGACCATCAGCTACCTGCTGCCCTGAAGAAACTACCATTTGATCGTCATCTTTCTTTAAAAAATGTCCAAAAAGTTGTGAGTGAAGCTGATGGCTACCAGCCTCATTTAATTGCTCCAGAACAAGGGTACAGAAGGCTTATTGATAGTTCAATCAGCTATTTCAAGGGTCCGGCTGAAGCTTCCGTTGATGCTGTAATATTCTTATTCAATCCCTATCCAATAACCGTTTATGATATTATCATGCTTATGTTATTAAATTCAACCTAAATTTTTAGGATATGTTTGTTTTCTTTTAATATGAAAAAGAGCATCGATGTCATTTCATGAATAGTTCAAGTATAGATTCCTTTTGGGCTTCAATTGTGGCATGCGGTTAGTGTATTTTCTTTCAACATATGGAGTGAATAATAGTCGGTAAGGTAAACTTAAAAATGGTTATGATTTCTGGAAGAGATTAAGGAGTAAACTTGATCTAAATCTAGAAACAATTTAGGATTTTGTTTGGTTGGTTGGTTGGAATTGTATTATCGTAGGCCGTATTAGCTTGGCAGCTCAATATCTAAAACTCCCCACCAAGTATGTCTGGCTAGATATAAAAGAAAAAAAAAGTTATATGTAGCGGATATTTTTTTTCAGATTCTCTTCTAATCTAAAGAAGGTTGATGTTGGAAACCATGCATTCTATAGATAGACTACGAAGATGCATTCTAGTGGAGTGCACTATGTATTCCCGTTATTAAATCAATTTGTAGTGTTTGCTCCTTCTGTAAAAAGAATATTTTTCCAGGTTTCCTAGTTTGTTTCATGATCAAAGCAGCTAATTGTCTTCTACTTGTATGCAGGTGCATTTTGTATTGAAGGAACTTGTTCGGAAATCTATCGCTGAAACAGAGGTATAAAGCTTTAATCAAACACATATTCTTGAATAGGGTTTAGGGATACCTTATAATCAAACATGTGATCTCGAATAGGGTTTAGACAAATTCTTTTTGGCTTCACCATATGATAAATAACAGAAGTTCCTTGTTATATTAGAATAAGGAGCTTGCTTAAGTTGCTCTACAGGATAAAGATATAGATTTTGTTTATATGAGTTGTAAACTTAGTTCTGCCTTTCTTCTGACACCAAAAATGAACATGGAAATTCTGACTGATTATGAAAAGTGCTTTGCAAAGAGGATCCTATTTCTCTAACTGGCACAAATAATGGATGAGTAGTTACAAAAATGTTTAGTCACAACACTTGAAGAGGATGATACAAAACTTGTGAATTCCAAAAGAACAAGGTTCCTCTATAGATTGCTAAAAACATTTTTCCCGAGGTGAGAACATGGAAGATAATAATCACCCGTAGACTTTTTGCCAATTTCTAGAAACTGTAGCCACTTAAGATTTTGAATAAAATATTTGAACTCCTTGTAGCTAACTTATTACTGATAGTTTAAGATGGCATGAAACTTCATAAAAACCAAAATTAAAGGACAAAAAAAACTGAGTTTTACCAATCATTGATAAGAGTGCACTTTTATCTATCCACTTAAATGATAGCAAATAAATATGGAAGTACAATTAATATTTAAGGACTACTAAAGATGCGACATCAAACAGTAGGCAAGAAATTTAATTTATTTGTGTAAAGCTAAATACTTTTGTCACGATATATCTATTTCTACACGGTAATGTCCCGTCTTCGTAGGTGGGAGAATTTTTGGAATTTCACATTTAGTAATACAATACGTGGGAGAAATGTATTCTAATTTACGGGCTTACTTTTGCTTCACACTAATTTCAGGAATTGAAAAGATTTCCGACACTTCAATCTGACATTGCAGCAGCTGCAACAGAGGCATTGGAGAGATTCCGTGATGAAAGTCGAAAAACAGTTCTACGGTTGGTTGATATGGAGTCTAGCTATCTTACAGTAGAATTTTTCCGGAAGCTGCATACGGAATCAGACAAAGTTCCTAATCCCAATGCAGCAGCCCAAAACGCAGACCGTTACACTGATAATCATTTTAGAAGGATCGGTATGATTTTTGCTTGCTGATATGTGCATAAACATTATTTGACACTCAATATTGTGTTATATAGATTCACACGCTCATGCACATATGGATGGAAGTATACATATTCACTAAGCATAACACTAAAGCCTGTTGTCAATAAAGTAAACTGAAGCACCAAACCACCATAATCACCGAGTTTGTCGATTGTTTTAGGCTCAAATGTGAGTTCATACATCGGGATGGTTTGTGAGACTCTGAAAAATTCAATTCCAAAGGCTGTCGTGTACTGTCAAGTTCGAGAGGCCAAGAGATCTCTACTGAACCACTTTTATGTTCAAGTTGGAAAAAGGGAGGTAAGCTTTCTGAAAGAATGCAAGTTATTTTTTCCTGGTTTGCATACTAATTTTCCCTGAGAAGAAGGCAGCCTTTTGTTGGTCCATAGTTGATACATACTTTGAAAACATAAGGTTTTCACGTAAATAAACTGAAAGAAAATAATTTTGTTGTTGTATTGAAGAGTTTAGTTTAATGTAATAATACCATTCCTGCCAATGCAATAATACCATTGCAGAAGGAACGACTTGGTGCCATGTTGGACGAAGATCCAGCACTGATGGAGAGAAGAACGACCATTGCTAAAAGGCTTGAGCTTTACAAGTCAGCTCGAGACGAAATCGACTCTGTTGCGTGGAAATGAGGGTCTCATCTTTTCAAGATTTGAGTAGCTTGATTTTTGTTTATCACACGTAACTCTTTGCCAGGATGGATCTCAATCTCATTGTGGAAAAACTAATTGCAGATTCTGTTTTGCAATGCCTTTCCGCCTTGGCAACATATAGGTAAGAAAGGGAAATGATGGAAGTATGAATTAACTGCTAGCATGCGATCGACAACGCACAATTGTCATTGATCTTTTCCATATTCATTTTTTTTTTTTTTTTTTTGAAAGGCTTCTCCATTCATTTCATATATATGGGCATTGTGTACAATAAACAGTTACGATATATTTGATATTTTTTTGCATCGAAGTTATGAGTTATATGGCCTGACCTACTCGTAGTTTATAAAGCACTCTTTCCAAACCATGGGAACTGAGGTATTCCACTATGACTTCATAGACTTTTCTCCAGTAGGTCGAGGGTTTGAAGGTTCTCCACCCCTCGAATGTTCCAACAAAGTATTTTGATGGCGTCTGGTACAACCATTGAAGTAACTTTTGCATTGTTTATTTATATGGTCTTCTTCCATGACATCCAACCCATGTGGGGTTTTTTTTTTTTGCCTAACATACAATGATTTCATGTTCCTTTTTGAGACCTTCAACTACTCCTTGTTTGGCGTGCCTTTTCCAATATTTAACATTCTAACCTTTGTTGTTTAGGTTCGTCTCTAAATGGCTTCTTAATTCTATTCCTTAATCTCTTTAGTGCTCCCCATTTTATTGTTCCATAATGTGCCTTTTCCCTGAATTTTAGGCAAAATCACTACTTCTACGCCTCATTTTTCTTTCATCCATTAAAAACTCACTCTCTTTAACGTCTACAATATTTTTTCCAACCTTTATGATGTTACATTCCCTTTCCTTCCCATCCAACTTTGCGATAACATCATGCTTTTTGTTGGAATGAAAGTTTCTTGTTGGAATGAAAGTTTCATTTAAGGAGCATTAGATTTTTAATTATTTAAAGTATAATGATCCTAGATTTTTGCTAACTTAAAAGTTGCTATCATCCTCGTATCATAGTCTTCGTAAATAAACATTTAAAACATCTTCGTAAAATAATGTCATAAGCTTATATGTTTCAAAAAAGATCTTTAAAACAAGATAAGCGGAACATTAAATAAAACAAAGTAAATATTAAAATTGACAACGCCATATACTAACCTTTAAGTCTAAGAATTTAAATAAAACTACCTTGCGAGCTATGGTCTTTATTTTGCAAACATATGCAACTTATGATTAGGGACCTATCTTTAAAACCATCAAAGAGGTAACCTCCCGTCCGAACAAAATTGAATATGTAATACTTCTCTACCCATGACCCACATGTGTGAGTGTGAGCCTATCAGGCGATTTGCACCCCCCAGAGCCCATCATGTAATACTTCTCTACACATGACCCACACGTGTGAGTGTGAGCCTATCAGGCAGTTTGCACCCCCCCTGAGCCCATCATGTAATACTTCTCTACACATGACCTACACGTGTGAGTGTGAGCCTATCGGGCAATTTGCACCCCCCTTGGCCCATCATAGTCAAGCTAGTTGTCTGTACCCTTACTTACGTCCGGAGGTCAACAAACCCTAGAATATCATGCAAGGCATAATGATGATGATCATCATCATAGTATACACGTTCGTACTCATCATCATAAATGGAGAAGTAACCCGATGTAAATGAACACATAATATGCATGAAGTCCCTGTAGTTTTCATTTTAAATTATTCTTATGACACAACCCTATACATCATTCACGTATTACCTAACATGCATTAGTCTTCACACATCCATCATCATTAACATCATTTAGGGTTGTGTCTAAAAAATCTATTCATCATAATACAACATGACATTTCGTACTTGCACATCATTTTAATATGATATATCATCATATTGAGTTATATCGTTGCATCTCATGTAAACATGTCATCATGTCATCATACATCGTCGTCATCATATCATCATTATATTATCATATTATCATATCATCATATCATCATATCATCATCATAATATAGCATCACATCATACTAATTCACATCATCATGACATCATTATCATACATCATCATATTATATAATTTGCACAAAAATATGTTTTTAATTCAAAAAAATATTATATGTTTGTTTGTCTCATTGTGTGAGCATGCAGTAGTGTGGTTATCGGGCATGACTGACCAAATTATTAAAATGAAAATTTGCACAGAAGTATGTTTAAAACGTTAATATATTTGTGTTTCTATCGGGCCTAGAAATCATGTGGGTTTTGCTTGAGCAGGTTCGAATACTGCCGCTCACTATTTTTATATATTTTTAATTCAAAAATAATATTATATTTTTATTTCTCCCATTAGTTATCGGGCATGACTAGAAATCATTTGACCTTTAGCCCTAGTTCAAATGATTTTTAATCTTAATGTTGTTTTTATTCACTAAATTATTAAATTGAAAATTTGACAAAAATATGTTTTAAATTTAATTCAAAAAAAATATTATATATATATATATATATATTTGTAATTTATTGAGTTTGCTGGAGTGGTTATCGGTCATGACTAAAAATTATGTCGCTCTGATATTGTATTATTAGCTAAATTATTAAAAATAATATTATATTTTTGTTTCTCTCATCTACGAGTCGCCGAATGTTTTAAAAATTTGTACAAAAATATGTTTTAAAATTAAAAATAATATTCCATTTTTGTTTGTAGATGGACATGTCGTATCCAGCTGACTAGAAATCTAACATATATTTAGAAATCTAACCTATATTTTAAAATTAAAAATAATATTATATTTTTGTTTCCCCATTAATTGGACATGTCAGAGTAGTTATACAACATGACTAGGAATTTGGAAACAAGATAATCGTATTCTCACAATTTTGTGCATGTCATAGTGGTTATCCAACATGACTAGGAATTCGGAAACAAGATAATCGTATCCTCACAATTTTAGATGTTTTTATTCACTCAATTATTAAAATAAAAATTGGTTTAAAAAATATGTTTTAAAATTAAAAATAATATTATATTTTTGCTTCTCTCATTCGGTCACGACCTGATTAACAGTCATTACTAGAAAGTCGAAGGTAGGAATATCAAATTAAAAATAATATTATATTTTTGCTTCTCTCATTTGGTCGCGTGTCGGCCTGATTAACAGTCGTTACTAGAAAGTCGAAGGTAGGAATATCACACTCACAATTTTTAGGTTGTCTTTATTCACTAAATTATTAAAATGATTTTTTTTGTTTCTTTCCCCCACAAGCGGTGTCAGTAGTTATTGCGCATCACTATAAATAATGTGGTTTTTGTTCGAGGTAGGATAATATTGACGTTGTTGTTTTATTCACTAAATTATTAAAATGAAAATTTGCATACAAATATGTTTTAAATTTAAAAATGACAAGTTCAAAAGCTATGCTTACATATTTTATTTTTGTTTCTCATTTAGGGAGGTGATAGAGTGGTTATGAGACATTACTAGAAATCATATTATATTTTTGCGTGCATAATGTTAACAAAAAAAAAAAATTAATTTAAAAATGATATTATATTTTTTCATGTAGTTTTTGGCGCAAGATAATATGCTCACTATTTTCAAGATGTTTTATTTATTAAAATAAAAATTTGCACATGTTTTAAATTTAAAAATAATATTATATTTTTATTTCTCTATTAGTAGCTGCGGGAGTGTTATATATCACGACTAGAAATCACCTTCGCCATTTTTAATTTAAGGTTACTCTTATTCACTAAATTATTAAATTAAAAATTTGCTAAAAAAATTATTGTTTAAAAATAATATTATATTTTTATTTCTTCAGGCTTCCACATGGTTAGTTATCAGTCATGAGTAGAAATGCCTCTACAGGTCTAATTCTTCGGCTTTTATGAAAATTTTGTGTAGTGTAGTTGTTATTGGGCATGACTAGAAATCAGTTGGGTTTTGTACAAGTGAGGATGATCTGCTGTTCACGATTTTAGATGGTTTTTATTTACTAACTTATTTAAATGAAAATTTGCACAAAAATATAGTTTAAATTTTTGCTTCTCTCATTCAGTTGGCGTGCTTGACTAGAAATCATGTGAGCCTCGCTTGTGCAGGTTCGAATGCTGCCGCTCATGTTTTTTAATCATCTATCGTATATATTAGAAAATTTGATAATTTTAAATAATAATTCAATTTGTTTTGAGATTGAAGGAAAGATTAACTCATTAAATTTAAAAACATATGCATAATATTCTAATAAATTCAATATAATTAAGATTTTTTTATTTTAATAAAATAAAACAATCCGTTAATGTTTTTCCTATTTGTGCATCTCACATCAATCTAATCTTTGAACATGTTTACAAAGATATTTACGTTGGAGATTCTGACTTGGTCTACAAACGTTCTAGCCAATTAGACAGTAGTTTTCAATTTATTTTTAAATTGCTAATTCGCAGGAGTTCGATTTGTTTTTTTATTTTGTTGGTTTGTTATTATGTTTTTGTAAGGCTCTATAAAAGCAGTAGGACAATCCGTTTCCTTTATTTGGTATCAAAGCTAGTTAGGATGGCGAAGAAGAAAGAAGAAATACACAAATTGAGTGTTTGAGACGAAAAACACTGAACAAATGACAAGTGATTCAGGAAGGACCGGGAAGAAGAAAGAAGAAATACACAAATTGAGTGTTTGAGACGAAAAACACTGAACAAATGGAAGAAATACACAAATTGAGTGTTTGAGACGAAAAACACTGAACAAATGGCAAGTGATTCAGGAAGCTTTACTACACCATGTGTTCCTAAATTCGATGGAGATTATGAGCATTGGAGTTTGGTCATGGAAAATCTCTTACGTTCCAAGGAATATTGGAGTGCTATTCAATCTGGTTTTGAGGAATCAAAAGGAAACGAAGCATTAAGTGCAGCCCAGCAAAAGGCAATCATCAAGCATTAAGCGCAGCCCAACAAAAGGCAATCGATGAAGAAGGCTCAAAGATTTCAAAGCAAAGAATTATCTCTCTCAATCCATTGATAAGAGTATTCTAAAAACTATCATTCAAAAGGATACTTCCAAGCAATTGTGGGATTCAATGAAACTCAAGTATCAAGGAAATGCTAGAGTGAAGCGAGCCCAGCTACAACAACCTCGCAGAACATTCGAAACTTTAGAGATGAAAGTAGGAGAAGGTGTTTCTGAGTATTTTACAAGAGTTATGTCTACTACTGATGACATGAGGAATTGCGGAGAAGATATGCCAGATGTTAAAATTGTTGAGAAAATAATTCGAAGTCTCACCGATAAATTCAACTTCG